TATATATATAGTATTTTTTAACACAAATATACTGTTTAAATAAAAGTTGTTGAATTCGACTGAACCCGCATACGGACTTCTAGCTCCGCCCCGGCTTGAATCAGTGGATTATCTAGTCTATTGGCAGCTCTAAGCGCCCCAAATGCAGTCAATGAGCTCCCAGGCTGATGCCATAACTTTTTTGTTTTTGTTTTATTCTCGCTATTATGGGGTATAGGGTGCAGACTTCAACTTGTATATTAATATTCAAAAAGGGAATACATGGAGAAGGGGACATAAAACCTTACCTCGCTCTGTACAAATAGTAAGTTGGGCATCCCTAAATATAATATTAGCAAAAAATTGCATATTGTAATATCCTTTCCATTGTGAGCACCAAATTTATAATTTGATCCTATAGTTATAAACAGTTAAGCTTCCTAAAAATCTGAGAGGAATGCTCCCAGTTACATATGTGCAGAACCATTACTTCAAAAAAGTTCCATTCTTGTTCTTTCTCCTAATTAATTCTGAAATTAGGAATTTGAATTTGATTCATTCTTAGAGCATCCAGGCTGATGGCATAATTGTTGCAATTTGAGTTCTGAGGTCTCAAATGCAAACACTTCAAAGGGGGATGTTACGTGAATTATTATGTAAGTTTTGATTTCTTGAAGTTCAAAGAGTATTACTGCAAATTAAATCATGCTATATAAACATGATCGAGAGAAGAATGTCACATATGGTGAAAATTATGTCCTCAATATTAACTGACTCAATAAGTTAAACTTCATAATATTTCATGATAGCCAACACAAAAACAAAGAGAAAAGGACAAACAAAAAAAAAAGAAAAGAAGAAGAGAAAGCACCGAAATGCTTAAATGGATTCACATGTAATATTCTAGAATGGTAAAAAGTAATTATCGTAATGGGAGAATAAGTCAATTATTTTTATGAAATCATATACCATAATGTTTGGTCAATTATTTGGGGGCACATGGACTTGAATGAATTAAGTATCCGCTCATCTCATCCATCTTGGAGAGAATGAAGCTAGATAACATGTAGCAATCAAGAATGAAAAGACTAGCTAACCGATTATTATCACAATTTTAAATATTTGGTTAGTTACACATTATTTAATCTCCAAATCTTTTCATGTTCAGATCTCTCCTATTAAGCACCGTCATGAATTATTTTGTTCCAAAATAATGTTTGGTATAGGAATTGTTCGGTCGTCGCATGGTGTTTCTGAAAATCATGTTGATTATTTAACTAACATAATAATATTATATCTCCTATTTTCTTTTTAATTGTATCCTCTAATCCATTTATATCCATCGTATGTAAAGATAAAACTTCATTCAATAAAAAGTATTCTGTTACTGATTGCATGTAAGTAAATAGAGAAAATAGAGAGCCTCACGTATTCACATGCCATGTTGTATCATAATACTAATAGCTGGATCCTAATGGCTACTTTTAGTTATTCTTTAGAACAGAAAAATGCATGTTCAGATGTGGTAATATAAATTAGGTAAACTATATCCCTATAATCGGTCAAAAACAGAAACCACGCGCAAACAAGTATTTGGTCCGCAATGATTACGATTTACGAATATACTAAGGTTTCCAGCTCAATAATATTGTTGTCCAGTTGCCCATATTTCTTCCATTTTGAGCCTCTACTTCCTCTCATGTTCTCAAAAGGAATAATATAATGCCCTCATAGTCCACCTATAAAAGAACTCCTTTAAGCAACCTAAAGAATCACCATTCTTACTACTCTTATCATCTCTTCAGCATTTCAATGGCTTCTCATTTGTTTCTAATTTCCATTCTAATGGGCAGCCTAGTTGCTGCCTCAGCTAATTTTAATAATCTTGCAGAGATCACTTGGGGCGAAGGACGTGGTAAAATAACAGAAGGAGGCAAGGGCCTCTCCCTGTCCCTTGACAAACTTTCTGGTTCAGGTTTTCAATCCAAGAATGAATATCTCTTTGGAAGATTTGACATGCAACTCAAACTCGTTCCTGGAAACTCTGCTGGCACTGTCACCACCTTCTTTGTAAGCTATTCATCAACTTTCGATTTTTATAAATTTAAGTCTATTTTCATTTCCAAGTTACGATGATTTGACTTTTGTTTCATGTTCTTTATTTCTTGATCAGTTATCTTCACAAGGAGAAGGACATGATGAGATCGATTTCGAGTTCTTGGGTAATACGACGGGCGAGCCCTACACTGTCCATACCAACGTCTATTCTCAAGGAAAGGGAAACAAAGAACAACAATTCCACCTTTGGTTCGATCCAACTGCAGCATTTCACACTTACACCATTGTGTGGAATTCTAACCGCATAGTGTAAGCTGTTTTTTTAATCATGTTATATACTGATAGTATGTTATCTGATGGTTTAAATATTTTTTATATTATTAATACATAAAGAAGTTAAATTCTATTTTTATTACTCCACAACATTTTATTTTGCTTACATTTTTTTCAATATGATGGATCAGGTTCTTGGTGGATAACATTCCAATTAGAGTATACAACAACCATGAAAACAATGGCATTCCATTCCCAAAGAGCCAACCAATGAAAGTGTACTGCAGCTTATGGAATGCAGATGAGTGGGCTACACAAGGAGGCAGAGTCAAGACTGATTGGACACATGCTCCTTTCACAGCTTACTACAGAAACTTCAAAATAGATGGCTGCGCAGTCACATCCGGCGCCTCTTCATGTAAGTCCACTGATTCTGCAGGCAATGCTAAGGCATGGCAAAATCAAGAACTTGATGCTAAGGGCAGGAATAGAGTCCGATGGGTGCAAAGTAGACACATGGTTTACAACTACTGCGCTGATAAAAAGAGGTTTCCTCAAGGCTATTCTCATGAATGCAAGAGCTCAAGGTTTTAATTAGGAGATGACACTTCATTATATTAATTCCAAAGGTTTGAAGATTGATGCATAGCCTGGTGATTTATGGGATTGGTTGTTTTCCTTATGGTGGTGTGAAATTCTTTATTGTTTGTTCCAATAAAAGCTTGTTTAATTTATTTATTTATTTTGATTAAATGTTGTTCAAGTTTGTGTCTATACTGGGAGAATATGTCAATTCCTGAATAAATACAAGAAACTGTTACCATGAAGCACAATTTTTCATGCTCTTACTTTGATAAGATGTATAGTTGTAATCGTTTGAGATAAAGCTGTATACCGTCGAAATAGATTTCGACCTTCTTACGTTCGATCGAGTTCGAGTGTTAAGAAGTCGGAATGAGATTTTGGGAGTGAGCTCTGAGGTCGGTACTAACGAACCTCGAGCCCGAAGGTCGCTCGAGGAGGCGGCTCGATAATCCTATCTAGCCCGTGACTGAATCGATCCGCAAGGCACTGCTTCGAGGTCGGAAATGCGCGACGCCCATCTCGAAGGTCGAACTCGATCCAAGACCGAAGGGCCCGACCCAGTAACGAGTTCGAGCTAGTATCGAGCTCACAGACAAGAGCCGTTGCAACCACACAAAGAAAGAGAATCTTGGAAGGAATCAAGGAAGAGACAAGTCATTATGGGTCTTCCACTACATGTTTTATTTTATTATTTTTTGGTAATGACCCTCTTCTATAAAAGGGGGAATCCTTGTAAGCTAGAGCAGGTTGAACATAAAAAAGATCACTTACTCTAGATATTAATAGTAATCCCCTTGTGCTTGTTTTACTTATTCATTCTTTTTGCTTATTATTTTCGTTCTTACAGTCAGCAATATACATATTTCCATTTCTCTACGCGATTTACATCAAATATCGCATATCCTTAGAACCATCCACAAATCTAACGTTAGCCGATTTTTTCAGTAAACACTTTGGCGCCCACCGTGAGGCTAAGGATAATAATGATCGTTTGATATGAACCTAAAGTACATGCCAGTTTGCAACTTCAAATCAGCAATGGCTTCACCTATCGACCACGAAGCCGGCCTTCAAGATAAAACCAACAACTTGGTACGCGGGGCTGGAAGGTCACTCGATGAAGGCGCTGAGGCTCAAATCGAAGCACCCGAAATTCGAGCCGAAGTATCATTGGTTGTCAATTCACAAATAGCTCTAGAGGCGAATCAGCGTTCCGAACCGGAAAGGAGTATTCAAGGTGGTACTCGATCCGTAGCTTGAGACACCCATAACGTGGAGGAGATCGGAGTCAGCTTACGGATAATCTTCGAGATGTTACAAGCCCAGCAAATAGCAATAGCTCGGTTGCAGAGCCAAACTCAGGTACAAAGCAGGCCGGAGCCCAATCCTCTTCGAGAAGTCACCCACAGAACGGAACCAGCCATAGAGAAGCCAAATGAGCAAGAATCAGGGACTACTCCCGAAATTACTAAATTGCTCGAGGAACTCACAAAATGAGTTGAAGCCAACGATAAAAAAGTAAAAACATATAATTTCAGGGTCGACCAGACCCCGGGGGCTCCACCAATGATAAAAGGGCTAGATTCGAAAATATTCATTCAAAAGTCTTTTCCCTCGAGTGTAGCCCCAAAACCGATCCCCGAAAAATTCCGTATGCCCGAAATACCCAAATATAACAGAACGACCGACCCCAACGAGCACATCACTTCTTACACGTGTGCCATCAAGGGCAATGATTTGGAAGATGATGAGATCGAATCTGTATTATTAAAAAGATTCGGTGAAACCCTGTCAAAAGGGGCAATGATATGGTATCATAATTTACCATCTAACTCAATTGATTCTTTTGCTATGCTTGCAGATTGCTTCATAAAAGCTCATGTCGGAGCTATAAAGGTCGAAACCAGAAAGTCAGACCTGTTTAAGGTAATGCAAAAGGATAACGAGATGCTAAGGGAGTTCGTAGCTCATTTTCAAATGGAATGAATGGATCTGCCACCAGTCACAGACGATTGGGTTGTTCAAGCTTTCACTCAAGGTCTAAATGAGCGGAGCTCGAGGGCTTCGCGGCGGCTGAAGCAAAATCTGATCGAGTACCCAGCTATTACTTGGACCGATGTGCACAATCGATATCAATCCAAAATAAGAGTCGAAGATGACCAGTTGACTTCTAGGACCATTACAAAAAAGCAAAGGTCGATCAGAGATCGATACCAGCCATATAGAGGAAATGATACTACTGCTGAGTATCCGAGACCTCTTTAAAATCAACCTCGTACACAGGGGGGGCTTTATCATTGAACGCATCTGTGATGATTATCAAGTTCGATGCAAAGAAAGTTACTTCATTATTTCATGACAAACAGTGTCTCAACGGGAAACGTTGTAAGGGTCAAACGGTCAAAACGAACCACTCTTATATAGTTGGCCCGAGCCCTCACGCAAAACATGAACCCATGTATAATGACCTGCAAAGAAAGCTCTCCTCCTTACCGATATTCTATGTTCAAGATTTATTAGGCAAACAGGATCGAGTTCGAATCATTCACTCGATTGCCAAGCCTACGGGCTACCTTTATTTCGAGTTCGAGCAATCACTCACTCGACCATTAAGCCTACGGGCGACTTTAACTATTACGCCTACGGGCTACATTACATCGAGTTCGAATCATTCACTTGATTGCCAAGCCTATGGGCTACCTTTATTTCGAGTTCGAG